ATTTCTTTTGGATTCTGTTTGCTTTGGACCCCGTGTGATAAGGTCCTATCTTTTGACATATTGTCAATATGCAGGCTTTTTAATCCCAGCATAGCCTTTGCATGCATGTTAACAATTAGATTTTCAAACATTTGGCAAAGTTCCTTGATCTCAGAGATGAATCTGGAAGTGAAAGTACCCCATGGGCTCTATAAAATTTTCTAAAAAGGTCTGCAAATTGACTTGTCTTTTGGAAAGTTAACACCACTTTCCTGAAGAGATAACATCCTCCAGTTTATATGTATCTCTCTTAGATTATCACTAGAAGGGATTCTTTAAAAATGTGATTACTAATAATAATTTATAACATAATTTTGTGGATTTCTAAAAAATAGAAAATAATAATTGCAAATGCTCCCACCTCACCCAAATGCCCCTTTCCCTTCCTGCAGATCTGGAAAGTTACTTTTTTAAAATGGAATAATTATAATCAGTCATGATTTTTAAAAGTTGTTACTTAGCCCAATGAAGAAATTAACTTATTGCATACACTATTGCATTATTCATTGCTTTCTGATGCTTCTTAGTTTGGGGAGGGGGATTCCTCTGAAAAGATTAGAAAACTTTGAAAGAAAACATATGCCTTCAAAGATATTCCAATAGCAGTTTAATCCTTTCTTCCAGCAATAAGTAATGGTTACTTGCTATGGAGATGAGGACTGACGATGTTACAACTTGTTATTTTACTGTTGAAAGAAATCTGTTGTATCCTCATCACCCCCAAAATGATTACTATGATTATAGCTAATGTTATCACTTGGAACTCATTACTTTGATGCTCTGGTTCAGAGTGCCAGTTTTTAATGTTAAAAATTCTTCTATCTAGGCAGGATCAGAGGATGGAGGTCAGTGAACTCTAGAAAGTCAAGATGGCAGAGGTGTACTAGAAAAATATGCCACAGTGCTCTTCACACTCCTGCAAGGCCACTGAATAGATTATGTTGACACTATTACAATCACCTTCCAAATTAGAGAGGCCATGTGTCTTAACTTTACAAAGCACAGTCCTTTATTTGAAGGGTTGCTAAGTACGGTGCAATGGGTGGGATATTGGGGGATGGGATTGTTTGTTTTATCTTGTAAGCCGCCTCGGTTGTATTTTACAGAGAGGCAGGATATAAATAAATATTATTATTATGAAGAACCATAAAAAAATAGGATTAGGGCCTTAGGACAGTAGATTGTTCTTTTCCTTTAGATGGCCAGGCACAGATATCATCTGATCGCAGTCTTCTCCATTATTGTAAGAAGCATTTTAAACCTAAACTATTGTAAAACTCTTCTTTTATATTTCAAGAGATCAAGAACATCTACTGTCAGTTTTAAACTTACTATAACTCCTTGTGACATCTGAACTCAAGGAACTGTATTAAGCTAATGAAACCAGTGAAAGGAGCCAGAATGGTGTAGTGGTTTGATGTTAGATGATAATCCTGGAGACCAGGGTTTGAATCCCTATTCAGCCATGGAAACCCACTGGGTAACCTTGGGCCAGTCACACTCTTTGAGCCTCAAAGACAAGGCAATGCCCCAAACAAAGCTTGCCAAGAAATTCCTGTAATAATAGGGTTGTCAACTGTCCTGGAAAAACTCTCCATTGGATAATACAAATAATGTTAAAATACAATATCAAAAAACAAAAAACCAAAACAAAACAAAACAGAACTCTACTTACTAAATATGATCATGATACTAAAAAAAGAAGATGAGAAAAATACTGGCGAGTCATCTTATACTTAATTACAACAGCGAGATTAATAATAGCTGAAAACTGGAAATCAGATGAATCCCTAAACATAGATGAATGGCTCTTGAAATTTAATGAAATAAGAGAAATGGATAGGCTGACAGCAATGATCAGCATGAAAACATTAAATAAGGTTGAGGAAGAATGGTTTCCAATAGTTAAATGGTGGGGGAAATTGTGGTGAGTCGATACAAGCTTAATACAGTAAAATTAAATTAACAAAGGAATTCATTACTAATAGAAAAAAGAAATAACTGAAATAATTCAAGTAAAATAGAGATAAGTTATATACATATAGAGGGAGTAAAAGAGAGAAAAAGATGAAGATTTGAACAAAATTAAGGTAACTAACTGGATGGACAGCAAAGATGTCAATATGTTCAATGTGAAATCAAATTTAACAAAGAAGAAAAGGGGAAATCAAGGAAATATTATGCTAATAGAAGAAATTAATTTGTATTTTTTTGTTAATAACAAGCTCATATAAGTGTATGTATATATTTATATGTAAAATTATATGGCAGAATGTACATACACCAGTATATTAAGGCGGTAAAAGAAAATAAGATATAGCATAGCATGATTTCAATAGGGTGGGAACCGAGAAGAAGAAAGAAGAAACATATAAAAGACAGAGATGTTTGGAAGTACATCAGAGAAGAAAAAGAAGAAACAAAATAAGCAGTTAATAATAAGACTTTTTGTATTGAACACATGCATTGTAAAGTATGTTTTTATTAAATTTGTTTAATAAAGGGGAGAAATTAAAAAAAAGAAAAAAAATCTCCCTTGGAGGAACTAAAAAATGTCCCTGTTGGTTGGGCTGGTTGAAGTAGTACATCCCAGATCCCTCCTTCAATGCAGGCCACAGTGACTCTGTTGGTGACAGTGGCAGTAGCGCAGGATGCCATGCAATAAGTTGGCACTGCTAGGAGTCTCATTCCATGCAAGAAGCTTCAGGTGGTACCACACAGGTGTGCCAGTGACAGAGGCCTGAAGTTGGAAGTGTTGAGTGCGAGAGGAGAGCCCAGAAGGTGGGAAGGGAATGGAAAGGAGGCAAGGAAAGGAAGCAAGAGACCTAGCCCAGGAGACCTTGGGGCTAAGCAGACGGCGCAAAGCGCTGTCTTCAGAGCAAGGAAGGGGAGGGGCAGCCACACGCCGGGCACCCCAACCCCTTCCCCAAAATGTCCTCGGAGCAGCTGGCCCTCCGCACGGCCGGTGCTCCGAGGATGACCTCCCGCTGCAGCATCCGTACACGCTGCAGCGGAAGAGTCACCGAAGGTGCGCTGGCAGCCTTTTGCGGTGCACCTTCGGCGATTTGTGGAAGGAGTGCTATTTTAGTGCTCCTTCCAGGGGCGGCAAAGCTGCGCCGTGGAGCCGAGATATGCAGATACCTCGGCCCCGCGGCGCAGCTTCCTGGGGCGGCCCCATGCCACCCGTCTGCTTCCCCCCCTTGTGTTGTTGATAAGGGTGTGATGAATCTGCTTGAGCCTAGGGCTAGACCAGGGGTAGGCAACCTAAGGCCCGGGGGCCAGATGCGGCCCCCTGAGGCCTTTGGACTGGCCCCAGGCTGGTCCTGCCGCCGCCGCCGCCAGCCATGATGATATTGATTATTATTGTTATTACTTGTTCTTGGGGTTTTCTTGGCAAAATCTCCACAGTGGTTTTGCCATGGCTTTTCTGAGGCTGAGAGAGTGTGCATGCATATTTATTATTATTATTATTTAATATTTTTATTTTTATTTTTATTTTTTTATTTATTTATTTTTGGTGCTTCGGCCCCCCAATTGTCTGAGGGACAGCAACCCGGCCCCTGGCTCAAAAAGGTTGCCTACCCCTGGGCTAGACAGTGTGGTGGAACTTCACTTTTAAGCATCCTTGAGAGTAAAAGGGAGTCCCATCTGATGGAATAATAGCAACAACTACTACTACCACCATTACTACTACTCTTCACTAAGGGAGTCTCATCTACTCTCGAGGCTGCTTGGATGCCTCCTTCCCTTCACATCAGCCAGGAGGGAAAAATAATAATAATACTTTTAAATACCTCTTTGCTAAGTTTGCTTCCAAGCAACCTTAAGAATAGAAGGGAGTCCCACTGTTGTTGCTGTTGTTGTTGACTAACATATACTCTAGTCCCAGGGTTGTCTCTCTGTTCCAGATCTGCCAGTTTAATGTTATTCTACACTAGTTCTTCACAAAGGGCTGTTATTATTTTTAAAAAATGGTACTGAGGTTGAAACATAGTAGTAGTGATTAAAGTTGAATTTGCATAATCTAAATGCAAATTAATAATATGCATAATTATAATAATTTGTATAATATGTGAATAAGATGCCTGGATTTGAGGGGCTGGAATATGACAAACCTATGTCATAGGGTCATTTTAGAGTCCCTATAAGTTAGAGACAACTTGAAGGCACACAACAACAAAGGGACCATAGTTTCAGATCCTGCCTTGTTCTCAAACCATAATTTCAACAAACCAAAGTTCCAAGAGTTTAGACATTACAGGGCATCACAATTAGATTAAACCAAGAGATTTTCCTCCTCATGGATTTTCTTCTACATGACAACAAAGAGGAAGAGAGGGAAGGTGAGAGTCCATGGACTTTATGTGGCATATGATTGTGAACTGAGATTTTGTGAGGAATGATAGCAATACTCCCCTATTGGGTGGTATGACATTCTGAGACAGCTCCTAAGAGGGAAAGGGAGTAGCTTTTGTCCATTTTTATTTTCTTGCTTGTTGTCAGCAATTTTAATTTTAGCTAGTCAGGGGCCAGTAAGGGCTTAACCTTGTTTTAATAAAGTTTTCACCTTTTTACACTAGATGTCTGTGGAATGGATTTTAAACTAGAGCAATTAAGTGGTATTCATTTATCTTTTATGAGTAGTATCTGGACATGTGGGAGTACTCCTGTGTCATAAGGATGTGATATGAAAGTGGTCTTGAAACTATTGACCAGATTTGCTAATTTAGCTAACCAGAAGATTTAGCTTTTACTCTCCATTGAATGACTGAAAATCCATAAAACAATTCATTCTGTAACCTAAGCTGCATCTCTGACACAGAAGTCAAAGAACTGCTAAGAATAGCAATGAAATTTCATTCTGGATTATATCTGCATCTTCTGCAACTAATGGGAGTTATAAATCCTGCCTTTCATATTGTTATGAGTTTGTGCTGTTCTTGATAACTGTGAATGACTACAGTTTTGCCTTCAAGCATTATCTGATTAGAGTCCAGGAACTGACAAGAAAATAATATTTCTTGTTAGCTGTATGTTGGGCTTCCATGATCAATTTGTCTGCAAGTCAGGAATGAAATCTGAAACAAGTACTTTGCAAAGTCTGTGTAAGCAAAAGCAGATTGGAAGTAGTTTTTGCATTTGGAGATATAAAGAGGGGCAGAGAGCTGTGAGAAAACTGAAGGTGCACTCTAAGGAGCAAGAATCTTTGGGCAAAAGAAACAGTGCGGTTGCCTGTAAAGTGATGGTTGGCTTCCAACCTATGTTCCATTTGTGTATTTTAGTTGAACAACTGAAGAGCTGAAATAGTGTCTCCAACCACAATTACTATTACCATTTGAAGCAAGAATCATACAAAGTTCTATTCATCTGCATAGAGTTTTTTTAGGGCTATATACAAAAGAAGGCTAGGGCTGTATATTAAAAAGTCCTTTTATAATATATAAAAGAAAACTACAGTTTTCCTCCTGCTGTATCAGATGCTGCCAAGTTGTCTCATCATAAAATTTCTTGGCTGATTTCAAACTGTAAAACAAAGCCTATATATAGTGCCAGCCTTCTGTTCTGCAAATATGTTCTATGAAGATGTTAAAGCATTTTTAAAAGGGCAGGGGATTTAAAAACAGAACTAATGTCTATCAAACGTAACTTTTAATACTACAATAGGATCCTTGGAACTGACAGCACATACTCACAATCAGTTGGGTGTGAGGTGACTTTTACACTGGTCTCACAGTTCATCTGAGAACTGGTTCAGATGCAACACTAAACCATGATATTCTATGCATGAGCCTTGTGCTCTTTTTCTCTTCTCTTTGTCTAGTATGGCTGAAATGGGATTGGATGATCAAATCTTGTTGTTGTGTCTAAACTAGCACAAATTGCTTAGTTTATTCTATGTCCTGTCCAATCCATGGTTTATGATTCTAGGTTGATTAAACAAATCATACATTGAATTAATTGCAGTTCCTGCTTGGACTAGGAAAAATAAACCACACTGAGTTGTTTCTGGTATTCTTCTTGTAGCAGCACTGGAGAGCCAGGGAAGCACATAACTTAACAAGCATATAACTATGAATTAGCATTGGCAGAGCTTGGGAAGTCAATCAATCAATCAATCAATCAATCAATCAATGACACTCTGATGCCACCCATAACATATGATGGAAGGATGATGCTTTAGGACCCAGAAAGTCATTCGATTACTTGTTGTTATGTGCCTTCAAGTTCATTTCTGACTTACAACTACTCTAAGGCAAACCTATCACAGGCTTTTCTTGGTAAGGTTGTTCAGAAGGTGTTTGCCTTTGCCACCCTCTGAGGCTGTGTGTGTGTCTTGCTAAGATTACCCAGTGGGTTTCTATGGCTGATTTGGGATTTGAACCCTGGTCTTCAGAGTCACTATCCAATACTCAAACCACTACCTCAATTATATATTTGGCTTCAGTGTGTCATTATTTGTTTCAAA